GCATTTTCATGGCACCGTACCGGCACTAGTACCTGGGTGGCCTAAAGCCCCGAGCCCGTAGTGAAGCCTGGTATTTACTAACTCAATTCTATTCGCACGAGTTGTGGAAGCAAGCCCAGATGACATTTACTTACAGAAACATATCCAAGTAGCAATTGTCAATAATCTAGAATGTCTATAACTACCTATTTATTCATACTAAAACCAGTTTGGATACAATTGCACTTCTACTCCACTAATTCGCTATCCTTGCATTACCAATTCAATAATATTACTCCTACCGATCGTATCCCGTTCATTGGTTAAACTCCAGGATTCTCTTTCTCATCTATACTGGGGTAGGAGGGGGGGTGAGTAAAGACTCATGAGCAGGAAATTATATAACCTCTCCATCACACACAGCACTCATACAAATGCTAAAAAATATATATATATATATATATATAAATTATAATTTTTTTTTTTTTTATGTGGCACCGTTTAGTTATATGATCTGCAGTTTGCCACCAAATCAAAATAAACAACACAATCACAATTACTATCAACCTTCAAATATAATCAACATCACGTGAAATGTAGTCAAGTGGATCACCGATAACCCCCGAAGAGCCTCTCACACATGGCCCATCCACTCACCATGTCACTCAGGGAGCCAATCCCTTTGTGCCGTGTCTCGGTCTTCTTTTTCCTTCCTTTCTCTTCTTCTCTTGTTTATAACACCGAATAGCGGCATCCCTCGTCTCCCTCAATCTAGATCATCAAGGCACACACAACAGGAGTCCACCGCTCGGGCATGCGACCCTTCAACAATCTAGGATTCAAAATCAGTGTGCGCCCAAAATAGGCTACTCTGCGGTTTCCCATACATATCAGAAACAGAACAGAACAGTACAGGTGCACCACGGGGGCGCCGATTCTCCCATTTAACCACCGGCTGAACAGAAATCAAAATCCAAGAGGCCATAGTTAGCAGTGAACAGAAAATAACAGAAACATCAGAATCAGGATCCGTATAAACAATACGTCTTCACAAACCCATGGTACCCATCTTCACCCAATTCCACACAAACAAAGAACAGCAATACAACATCAACAAATAAGCAAAGCCAAATATTTAAGTCAACACAATAGGTGCATCACAAAGATGGCAAAATGCATATAAATTATTTAGCCCGTGAATGGCATAACAGCGGATGAGCAATATCTAACCTAAACACACAGTGTCTTTATGCTCTCTAGACGATCGTTCTAGTATCGCATCCCTTCAGCATTTATGTTCTCCACTCCTCTGAGAATCTATATTCCATCTAGATAAAGATATGATTACTTTTTCAGTTGTTAGTATATCATCTAACTAAGATAATGATCCTTATAATATAGCATCAATAATATAAAGACAAGTCTGATATCAGAGCTAGTCTATTAATTACTATATTCTATACATTAATTATATTTATATTTATTCGTTCTTTAACTTATGTTTATTATTCCTAATGTATTATACCTGTATAATATAATGTCATTCTAATTTTATTTAGTAATGTTATATTTATTTTTTATAGTAATATTAATATTATAATGATATTATTATATATTTTAGATATTTCCTATTACTTAATTAATTTTAAATATTAATACCTAAAGTTTTAGTTCCGTTACTAATATTAAAACATATAATCAACTTGAATTTCCTTCTTTATTGAAATAATTCGGGCAATGCAATTTCCTCTATAATACGGGACTATCTCCAATAAATTTATCAATATAATTTCACCAAAATCCACAAACACAGTCGCCCATCTCACGGCAGATTCATAACAACTGATCTTCATCCCGCCATAACCATCATTCTATCGTTAATTCAATTTACAACAGTCCTATTATAATTATTGTTCTACAACTAATTTTTATTTGTTTAATAAAATTCCTAAAATTTAATTATTAGCTATGGAATTATCTTTCTGAGTACCAAACTCTTATAGTTATTATTAATTAATACTCATGAAATAATCTTAACAAATCAATTTAATCTATTTAAATACGTAATTAAAATTCTTTAATTAATTTAATTCGGGATTATTCAAAAAATTGCGAATAAGCTTATGAGGTCCGATTGAAAATCGAATTTGATTTCAGTCATCCGCGCGAAGAAAGGAGAACATTTCGCTTGAAGTCCTCGCCGGAAGTCCTCGCCGTCCGGTCCGGACCGCCGCGTCGTTCACCCGTGCACGGTGGCCGGCCAAATGCCAAACAGCCCTAGAATTTGCAACGTATACACCAATTGTCGAAATCTCATAGGGACTCCGGACTGTGGTTCAAATTAGACACTGGATGTGCCTTATTTGGCCGAAAGGTTGCTTCGGCATGGCGAAGGCCATCCTGCCATTCATGGCAGTTCTGTCATCCAATTCTCATCGCCGGAAATTGATGCAGTGAATCACGTCAAGCAAGTAAGAGGAGTCAATTGAGTCCAATCAGATTACAGCGTGAAGGCCCGTCGTAACGGCGTGGGCTTCCGCCCGGAATCGAACGCCTGCGTCACCGCTAACGAGGAAAAGGAACAACGTGTCACGCCAGCGAGCGCGATCGAAGCGGACAACTCCACAAAGTGGATCAAAGCGTCGCGCCAAAAAGGTCGATCGGCGCCGCCTCCATACATCGATGGTGTGTGCGAATGCGAAGAGGGAGGAGCGGCGTCGCTGCTCCTTGTGTCTCTGATATATAGAAGATAGAAAGAGAGGAAGAAGAACAAGAAAGAAGAAAGACGTTCTTAGAGAAGTTTGGGCATTCCGGTTCGATTCGAATCGTTTGGTCCAAATCAAAGTCATTGGCCCGATTTGCTTGGATTTAACGGGGTTATCACATCCAGTTTTAGTTTATTTTTTTATTGTATTTATTTAGGTCCTATAACATTTCTTCAATTTACTTACATTTAAGAATTAATAATCAAAATGTGAGGATGTTTAAGAATAATTGAATTCACGTGGTAACTAACACTCATAATTTATATATTTAAAAGTACATTAATAGTTAGGGCTCCAAATTTCGTCTTGAAAATTTCTACAGGTTCTTCAACCCGATAATTCCGATAAAGTGTTTGGCTTGAGTCCCAACATCTCAGATTAGGCCCAAGAATTGAATGCTCAGTACTTTATAGTCATACGTTCCCAAATTCAGATTTTAATTTATTAAAAACTTAAAAGTTTTTGACAATAAAAATCATGGGTATACAAAGAACTAATATAAGTAATCCAATTAAAAAATTATATATATTTTAAATCAATTCAATAAAATTAAATTTTTTCTAATAGAAAGGATTAAATTAATTTTTAATGAAATTTTGTAATCAACCAAATAAATATCAATAAATTAACATTTCTAATTAGAATAAACTAAATTAGTCCTAATAATGGTTTTTATACAAATATAAAATTAAAAATATTAAGTGTACGTTACCACAAAAGAAGATATGATTGCAAAACCAATAATTTTAAATTGATAAGATAGCTTAATATATATAATTCTTAATACAAAAAGTAATAAATTCTGAAGTCCAAAAGTAATTAAAAAACTACATATAATAAAGTTATTATATATAACGAATCTAAATTAGATATGATCTTAATGACAAAGTTCTAATTAGAAATAAGATTGAATTTAAAATAATACTTAAATTGGATAATTTTTAACATTAAGAATTAAATTCCTAATCAGCCATAAAATTAAAGGTATTAATTGAATAAATTTTCCTATTTAGAAATTAGATTAAACTTCATAATAGAATTAGATTCAAATAGAAAATTAACATAACTAACAAAGTAAAACTACTTTTATTTTTCAAACAAACAAAATAAAAAATTTTCAATCATTAAATATGGACTAAATTATCCTTGATGTATTTTTAAATTACTCAACTTAAATCAAAGTTCATAGGGCATTTAGGAAAACTCAATGTTATCCATTCGTGATTTTTTTATAATTCCAGATTTAGCAACAGAATTTTCTAATCCATTAGCTAAAGTACAATTACTAACAATTTTGCCATATATTAATTGTCAAGAGAATACAAATTTCAATTTAACCTATACAAACCAATTCACAAAAATCAATGATTTATTCTAATGTTTTTCAAAATTAATGAATTTATTTATTCAAAAGTAATTTTATCTTTATTTTTCAAACCAATAAATTTAAAATTCCCTTAAAAGTTTTATGTTCTTACCATATATACTTAAATAATATATAATTTTATCCAAATAGAATTTATGATTTAAATAGAAAATAATATCCTTAATAATTAAGTTAGCTTTATTTTTAACTCTATATTTATCAATTAAAAAAAAATTAATTCAATTAATCAATTTAATAAATAAAAAAAAATTCTAAACTCCAGAGAATTTCGCTTAATACTAATATATAGAAAAATATAAATGTATATTTAATATAATTAGAATTCTATTTTAGACCAATAAGATTCCATAAAAGATAATCGTTAATATTTCATAGGACCTATGAATAATCACAAAAATTTTAATTTTTACATGTTTGGCCAAATAAGAAAATCATTATATGATATTATAAAGAAATTTTGCTTCACATCTTTAATCAAGTGGCTTTACTTAATAAAATAAGTTATAACTTTTGAAACTAATTTTAGGTAGTTGAGAATACACGATCACTTTAATTTAAAATTACACCGAATTAAATCAAAATTAAAGTGAATTTTCAAAGTGAAAATAGCCTCCAATTAAATATAACTCAAAATATAATTAGTTCAATTGGTTTTACATGCACTTTTAGGTTGGTCAATTTAAACCTTTCACTAAAAATAAAAACTGAATAAAAAAAAATTCAATTTATCTGTGCAAACTAAAAATCAACCGAAATCAGTTTTACCCGATATTTTAATATCCTTAAAATTAGAAAAAATCCCTAAAATTACAAAGGGCTATAAATTCTCTTTTGTTGAAGAAATCTTAGACCATTAATTAATATAATATTTAATTAATTAATGTAATAATAATATTTTTGAACATATTGAATATTAATGTAATAATAATGCATTTTTGAAACATATTGAATAAACTCCAACTAAGTTGCCAAAATTGACAAAGTATGAATTGTAGAATTAAATTTCTACTTAACCAATTTCTCTTTCTTCTCTATTCTTAGTTCATCTGATATGAAGATAAATGGTTTTTAAACGTGGTATTATATTTTTCACACAAATATATTCAACGGAAAGATTAAAAGCAATATCAAATTTCACATAAACTATTAAATCAATTAAATATTTAAATTATTCTTATTATTGTATAAGTATTTTTTTACCTTATTGGCCATAATCAATTATTTTCTAAGAGTATTATAAAGGTAAAATATCAATATTCTTTTTTTAGTAATAAAACAAATACTTAGGTATACTATTTTATATCCTTGGAGGAATTCGTCTATAAGAAAAAGAAAGTGAAGGAAAATATTAATTAAATATTCTCATATACACCAACTTGATCATTTATTATTTTTTCCATAGAAAGAACTAAAAAATTAAATAACAGCAATATTTACTATGTATATAATTTCAAAATTTAATTTATAAAAATTACTTCTACTTGAAAATGTTATTTTTCTTAAAAAATATATCAAATCAAATCAAATACAAACATAAAGAAAAAAGAGTAGTAAATAAAAAAAATACCATTTTTTTCTAATGCTTTATCTCTCTCCTAAATAAATACTTTAAATTATATTTTAAAAATGAAATCAAATAAATAATAAATTCAAAAAAATAAAATATAAAAAATTTAATGTCTTATTTATCATATATATTTTATTAAAAAATACAAATTATATCCCAATCAACTGTAATTTTTTAATTAGCCATTCATTTAAGAAGTAATTTTGAACAATTTTAAATTTTATTAAGGGTGATATTAAGTAATCGCATTATTTCCTCCTCATTTCCACTTTATATCATAATATAAATAATATATATAGTTATAATTCTAATTATTAAATTGTGGTCCTTTGCTTATAAAATGGAAGCAATTTAATTTCGTCGCATTTGCAATTTCTTGGATAGCATAATTAGTAGCATCATAGAAGCAACTAGTTAAGTTAAATAAGTTCCAACTCATTTGTTTTGTTAGAATTTCAAAAACATAAAAAAAAAAGAGAGAAAAATGTTAGTTTTTGACTTTTTGTTTACAAATTTACAATTAATATGCAGTTAGCTTAATTTTGGGAATTTTATTTCAAGGTGACAAATCAAGTGCTGAACCTTTAATTACATATATAGACAGCACAGAAAAAAGAAGAGAAAACAGGCAAAAAAAACAAAAAAGAAAGAAAGAGAGGAAATTATAGGCCTTAAAAAATTGGAAAGAGCTTTGTTTGTAAGATGTTCCAGTAGCGCATTTGATTCTGGGCGCAACAGAAAGAGCATTCTTCTTCCACTTCGCATGCAAATGCACCATCTGCTTATTCATCATTTTATTTTTACCTAAACCAAATTCGCAAAAGTTCAATCAATGAAATAAAATTCTGGTTAATTAGATCCTGAAGTATAGATACATTTTAAAAAACTTACCCTTCAGAAAAGCAATTCCCATCACTAATTTCTTCTTCTTCTTCTTTGGTGTCAGATATGCAGGTGTTGTTGATACTTGCTTTTCAGCCTTGGATTGTTCCTTCACCTTCCAATCAGCTTCAACGCAACCAATGCAGGTTTTTCTTGTTCTAACTACAAGGTATCCATTGCGAGACCAAACACGTGTCCAAATGCATATCCCGTGAAAACAAGATTTCCAATCCAAATCCATTTTTTCAATCAGTTAGTTTGAATCTTCTTCCCGCCTGATGGGGTCGTGAACTCGTTGCTTTTCACCAGAATTACAAGCCTTTTGCAGTGGAAAATCCACACAGTCTTGTGTTTTCCTTCATACGAGCTATCTCAAATGTGTTGAACTGAGGGCCTTGTAGGTATGGATCTTCAAGTTGATTATGCGAAACACGAAATCTTCGAGGGATGTCAAAGTTGCAATTGGGATTCGGAATCCCTTCCAGAAGATTATTTGAAGAGAGGTCTAAAGTTTCCGATTGGTCAAAGTTTCCTATTGATGGTTCAAATCTTGCCTTTGTGAGATGATTATGGGAAACATGTTGAGCTGCTTAAGTGCTTTAAGCTTTCCAAATTGACTTGGGAATTTTCCTGTTGAAGTTAATTACCTGACAAATTAATGGCTTCTGTTTAAAAAGAGTTTGGATTTTCACCAACTCAATTTCCAATCTTTCAATATCAAGCTCACAGAATAATCATAAAGAGGCAGTAAAGTTTGTATCCCATGCTTTGTCAATTCTGATCAACAATTGATCATTGCATCGGAAATTAATTTGAACTAATATGAAAGAAGGTCCGCTGGAATTGTTGTTGGAGAGGTCCAATCGCGTAGCTTGGGAAACCTAGATAGTTGGCAATCGGAAGTGGCTTTTCACCAACCATGGAAGTCCTATTGATCGTAGCGTAGAATCTGCAACTTTTGAAGAGTTTTGCCTAGAAATAAGGGAATGTGTCCTCTATCTCATTGTTGGCCCAAATCTAAAAATTTTCCAAATTTCTTTTACAAATTGGAAATTAGAACCGTTGGAATTTTCCCTTGCAGTTTGGTTTTGCCCTTAGAAAATCAATATTTACGTTACTGCCTTCCTGTAAAATACTTGAGGAAGAACTCCCATTAAGTTGGTTCACATCCAGATGTAATACTGAAAGGCTACTGCTGAAGTTTCCCAAACATTGTGGAATGGGAACCACTGAATTGTTACTCGACAGGGTCGAGGATTCCGAGTGATTCTCACAAACTGCAGAAGGAATTTCTCCTGTTAATTTCTCATTTAATGAAAGAATGAGAACCATCAAGTCCACCTGATTGAAAATTGAGCTTGGAACTGTGCCAGACAACTTGTTATGACTCAGATCAACAAGTTCTAATGTATTATTATGTTTGAATTGACATACTTGACCAGTGAGCAAGTTATTAGACAAACTTAAGTACACAAGGCTGGAGAGCCTGCAAATATCTGAAGGAATTGGACCACTAAAATTATTGTATGAAAGGTACAAAAATCGGAGTTGGTTACATTTTCCAATGAAGGATGGAATTGGACCATTGATATTGTTGCTTTCCATAAGTAAATAGGACAGCTGGCTAAGGTTTCCAAATGAGGGAGGAATTGGGCCACTAAAATTATTGTATGAAAGGTCCAAGGAATAGAGTTTCTCAAGTTTTCCAATTGAGGATGGAATTTGACCAGTGAAATTATTACCTCTAAGTTCCAATACAACGAGTTTGGATAGATTACCAAACAATTCAAGATTAGACCCTATAAAATTGCAACTATTGAGTTGCAGTACTTGCAACAACTTCAGATTCTTGAAGAATTCATTTTTTAAATAAACCGGAATTTTAGTCGAAGAAAGTGACAAGTAGCTGAGTGAGATACTCCAATTTGATATAAAAGTGGAGCTAGTGAGACCTTCATTCGATGATAAATCAAGGACTTCAAGATTTGGAAGCTGAATTATATTATTTGGAAATTTTCCTCTTAATCCAGAATATGAAAGTGTGAGAGATGACAAAGAAGAAGATAAATTGATAAATGAATTAGGTGAAGCCAAAGAGAGGTTGAAGATAAATTGATAAATGAATTAGGTGAAGCCAAAGAGAGGTTTGTACTCCTCAAGTCCAAATCTTGCAACTTGGTAGAGTTTCCAACAAGCTTATTAAAGCTAGTAGTTGTTTGTATTGAAAGACTGTTCTCGGAAAGATCAAGAGAAATCAAATTAGACAGTTTACCGATTTCTAATGGAATTTGACCAACGAAATTATTAGACGATAGGTCTAACTCAGTGAGTTTTGATAAATTACCAAACAATGCAAGATTAGACCCTATGAAATTGCAATTTTCAAATTGCAGTGATTCCAAAAAATTTAGATTTTTGAAAAATTCATTTTCTAAATATACTGGAATTTTAGTCCCAGAAAGAGACAAATGGTAGAGTGAAAGAAGAAAGAGACAAATGGTAGAGTGAAAGACTCCAATTTGATGTTGGAAAAGAGCCATTGAGGCCTTCATTGTACGCTAAGTCTAAGACTTCGAGATGTGAAAGCTGAACTAAACTGTCTGGAAATTTCCCTCTCAACCCAGAAGATGAGAGTCTGAGGGATAACAAAGAAGTAGATAAATTGCTAAAGGAATTAGGAGAAACGAAAGACAGGTCTGTATAGCTTAGGTCCAATTCTTGCAATTTGGTTAAGTTTCGAATAAGCTTGTCAAAAGTAGCAGTTGTTTCTAATGTCAAACCAAAGTTAAGGGAAAGATCAAGAGAAACCAAATTGGATACCTGACCGATTTCTAATGGAATTTGGCTATCAAAGTTTGAATAATTTAGATTAAGGTGTGTCAAGCTCAACAAATGGCCAATTTGAGACGGAATTATGGAGCCTCTGAAATTATTGCTAGAGAGATCTAGTCTTTGAAGATGATGAAGAGCAAAAAGATGATGAAGAGCGAAAAGAGAATTATTAGAATGGAAGTTACCGTAAAGCATACTGCTAGAAAGGTTAAGCCCAATCACATAGCCAGTATTAAAGTCACAGCTGACACCATCCCAAAAGAAGCAACAATCCGTGCCCTCTTTCCATGAATCTGTCTTGGGATAAGAATTAAAGAAAGGATGATAACTCCCGCTAATGGAGAAGGAGTTTTTGAATTGGAGCAAGGCATTGCTTTGATCAAGCCGGCAAACTACATTTGAGAAAGGGGAATTTGTAATATTTGAAGAATGAGATTGAAAACAGAAGTGAAATAGAAGAAGTGAAATAGAAGGAGGCAGAGAAATTGAAAATGCCACAGTAAGCAACCAAAACCCATGTTCTGTGTTTGCCAAATTTAATTATGATCAATTTCAGCATATATCACTCCCTATTTATAAACCACATGATTCCCTATTTGTTTGAATCATGATAATGTTCTCTCTCCTTTTTTTTAATTATTTTAAAACATTCGCTCTTTAATTTCTACCACTGTAATTCTATTCTATTTTTATTGTTATTATAATTTACACTATACTTTGTTTTATAATTTCTTTTAATAATTAGAATACTTTACTCTAATTATTTTTAACAAAAGTGGATTATATAGATCGGTGGAGTTGAAATCTCATGATTGATGATGAATAATTAAGAAATTTAAATTTTAGAAATTTAAATTTTATCTTTTAGAAATTATACGGTGGTTTCTATTTCTACGCTATCGATCTTTTTCTCAAGGTTTTTCATTTTTCTTTTTGAAGAATCCTCAAGGTTTTTTAAAAAAAAAAAAGAATTTAGAATAATAAGCTAGACTGATGTTTTTCGTATTTTTTTACACCTCATAATTAAAACCAAAATAAAATGAAAGTACATCCAAGAAGGCAATAACTTTTCGATGCTTGCATGCATGCACCATATCTAGATCCGGTGCATGACCTCATTTATAGACCAAACAAATAAAATTAGGAATTTTTTAAAAAGTATTTCACTTATAACCCTCTAATTAAAAAAGTCAATCAACAAGTGAATAGGTGAGCCTGAGAACGACTAGATATTAAAGTGTTGTGTCAAATTCAATCACTATCCGAAGACTTATGCAAGTCTTTCTTTCTTTGCCTCTAAATTTTTTGATAAGTTAACGATTATGCTACGTTTTCGTTACGGTTACGGTTATGCATATGTAATATAAGCCTTCCTACTTAAATATTCGTAGATCATATTTCCTCCAAACTACAGTTTTTTAATGAATATGATATTTAAAATCTATAAATTAAGAAATTCGTTGGTTTGGACAATGTCCGGATGTGACTTTCGAAGTAGATTAAAAAAAAGAAAAACAAAAGCAGAGAAAAATGTTGGTTTTGACAATGATTACGATCGAATTGACAATTACATTAAGAAAAACGATGATTTAATTACTATAACTTAGAGGTACATTTCTTATTGTCAATTGACAATTACAATTACATTTTTTATTGTCCATGAAATGAATAGATAATTAAAAACTTAGAGGTCCATAAAATAAATCAATAGAACTTAGAGGTCCATAAAATAAATCATCAAAAATAAATACTAGGATTAAAAAAAAAATTAACATCTTTAGCTTGCTATCCTGTAGTTAAAATAATGAGAAATTGTTTGAATTTTTTTTTTTTCTATAATTTAGTTTGGATATAATGGAAAATTAAAGAAATAAAATTTTATTTTTTCATTTAATTGAAAAAGTAAAAATTCCTAAGAGGAAACCACTCCTTGGTGGGTGGTTGCATATAGCTCTATTATAATGATATTTCTATCCTAATTATTTAATATACTGATAAAATTAATGATTTTATGAATTAACCATAGTATAAATTTTCAGATTATACGAAAAATCATACCTATAAATTAATCAGATATATAATTAAGCAGAAAATTTTTTACAAATTTTATAAGAAATACAAAAATAATGTTCAAATAAATAAATATATTATTCAATCCCCCTTCTTCCTCCTCAGTGCCGGCCAAAATTATGATTTATAGATAGTCCAAATTGTTTTTTTTTAAAAAAAAAAATTTTGTTAAAAAAGAATATATTTTAAGCTCATCTTTTTGGTCGTTTGCCAATAAAGGCATGAAATGTTTAATTTTATTTAAATTGCTTTCTTTCCACGATTGATTGCAGCAAGAATCAATGAATGCATGAAGATAACCCTACTTGTATTTTTAATAAATGAAAGGAATAGTCTTGTCTAAGTCAGTTGATTTTGATAAATGCCACTGTTGCTTCTATTATTTGATTAGGTCCTTTCCAATTATTAAAATATAACCAAATCTTGAACTTAATAAGCTATAATAAACAACAGCAAAATATGTTTTTGGGAATTTTTGGGATTTTTAAGCAATTGGAAAGAAAGGAAATCCCTATTATTCCAAGTTGTCCAAGACATTAATTAAAAATTCAAAAACATATATTACTTCCTTAATTAAAGATTAAAATTTAGATTAAAAATTATATGTTTATATAGTTTGTATTTTATGCAATGTGTATTTCACGCTCCGTTTTTGTTATTCACAAAAAAAAAAAAAATAAATAAATAGTTGCAAACCTTTACCGTGGATTATAGAATCTTTTCTTTTAAATCGTTATTAAAATTGTAAATATAAGTTGTGTTTGCCAATAGCATTCGAATTAACTTTTAGAGATTAAGATAACGTTTTATAAAAAGATAACCCGTATAATGTTTAGCTTTTAACATTTTGTATATGAAAAGCTATTTAAACAGCTAATAGTTAAGCGTTACAAAAAAAACTAATAGCTATCAAAACAACTAATTTTGCCGAGCCAACCCATAATTATCTTTAGATTTATCAAAATTTAGTTGTAAATTAATAAAAAATTGAAATAGAAATTTTCCGGACCCACATAGAGGCCAACTTATATATTTCCTGTGGTGCAAAAGACAAGACACATGGTCACAAAAGTTAAATGTATGTATGTGTGTAGGTACATTATCTTCCCTTTAAAATTATCTCCCTTTAAAAAACAAATAAGCTAATTATAGGTATGCTTAATCTCCAAGGATGACTGGAAAAAGAAGAGACTGTTATTAAAGTGCATCTCCATTGCATTCTCTTTCTAACAATTTAATATGTACTTACAAGTTATTCTAATTGATTTTCAATTTAATTGGTAAGAAGAGAATTGTATGTCACTGAGCTTGCATAAATTGTTGGAAAGAAGGCAGGTTTAATTTTTAACTAGGGCGGCCTAAGAAAAGATCAAAGAAAATTTTAAAACTATTTCAACATGTACTGACATCAACATCCATCTGAAATTTTAAGAAAAGGAAGAAACAGTGCTTCCTAAGAAGGTTAATTTTATTCACTAAGAGTCATCAGAAATGATAGTATATACATATATAATGCTAGAAACTGACAATAAATAAGATCCTTAAATCTAACATCACCCTTAAATAAGTTTTCAATATTTAATCATAGAAAACCAAAGATATTACTTTCAATTAATATAAAGTTATCTACAGCAGATAGAAAGTGCGTTACGTTATATGAACATCAAAAATTTAAAATAAAGATTATTTTTGGATGGAAAAATAAACATTGCATAAAACAGTTTCCAACAAAAAAAAAAATCACCGCACATTGATTAATTTTATTGCCATCTTGAAATATACATAGTGCAAGCTTTTAACGTGCTGCATGGATTTTTTTAAGTGAACTTCTTTTATTAAGAGCAGTCCTGCAAAAATTAAATTAAGTTCCTTAAACTAACTTAAGAAAATGATTTTAAAAAATCCAAATAATATAAATATAAATCCGACAATTCTGTCAATTTTTTATCTTCTTAATTATCAGGGAATCCAAATGATATAAGAATCCAATGATATTAAATTTTATAATTTCCTAAATAAGGAAATTTATTAATTTTCTAAATTTTTTGTCTTTACCAAATAGTGTAACGTTACACGCCACGACCAACATAACCGTCAAACACGGTCAGGTGAGAGGCAAACTCTTTTACAAACCTATCTGCCACGTGTAAAAAAAGAAAAACTCCAAACGAAGCCAACTGTACAAATAACCTACACACGTACCTGGTGGAACCCGCGCTCTAAAGCAGCGGCACGCCGATTTGTTCCGTTTTGGAGTGGGGAAACGGAGCGCCAGTGGTTTTGGGGAGAAGAAGGCGGTATAAAGGACGAGAGAGATTGAGGATATTAGACAGAAGAGAGGACGAGAGAGATTGAGGATATGAGACAGAAGAGGAGGAAAATTTTCGCAAGAACAGTTAAAATCTCGCACGTTGAGAGATTAGCTTCAGCTTTTTAATCAGGTCGTAACTCGGCTGCAAACGAGTCTGACTCGTTTCCTTCATTTGTCCAAAAAATTTTGTTCTTAATTGATGAAGCAACCCCAACCCGCCCGAGAAATGGGGCTTGGTACCATTGTTGGGTCATGCTCATTGTCCCTAATAAATGTTCCAACTTTTACCTTTTTCTTATCTCCCATTTTCAGGGACATACATTAATTTCAAATACTAACTGAAAATATGTATATAATGAACAATCATACAAAATATATCTTACATTTAGAATAAGCATCAAAAATATATCTTACATTTAGAATAAGCATCACACATGTTTATATTTTTCTTTGCCATTCATAAAACTAAAATTTTAAAATTAGTTAATCATGTGATAAATCAACTATGATAATGAGGTTATTTAGTGTCTATTTGGTTCCATGATTATACTTAGGACAATTTCTTTTGAAGGACTCAAATAAAATTTTTTAAACTTTTAGAGGGATTAAATATAGTTTTTTATATTTTTAAGGATCAAAATATAATTTTGTTTAAATACCGCGCACCTTAGGTCCGTCCCTATTGAAC